TTTTTAATATTTATTTTTTAGTTGTAGTTGGACACAATAACTTTATTTTATTTATTTATACGTGGTGCTGAGGATTGAACCCAGGGCCTCACATGTGCTAGATGAGTGCTCTACTGCTGAGCCCCAGCCCCAGCCCAGATTTTATATTTTCTATGTCCCTTTATAAGTACTTCATTATCAAAGATTACTAAGGTTGTCCCTAAAAGGGCTTAGGAACCACTAGCCAAGATGGAACAGATTGAGGGTAAGGCTAATGCTACTGTGTATTGAAACCATGAATTTTCAGATTCTTAGTTCTTAATAGCACTAATTTAAAAAAAGGAATGAAGAAACTGCCTAGTTTCCTTTGGAGGGTACTAGGAGATGCCTCATTGTCTTGAGGGAGAAAACCTGGTAAATAAAAGGAGTCAAGGCTTGATCCTGTCTTTCTTATGAGCTTTGTCTTCGAGGCTAACCACACATCACCGAGGGAAAGTTCCTCTTTATGGCTGAGACCTGATATCTGGAGCAGGAATGAAGGACCATCACTCCCAAGTAGCCCCCAAGGAGTTAAATGCTAGGCAGTGACCTTTGTTGGCTGCTCATGTCATCAAAAATAGACCCCAGACACCCCAGTAGTAATACATACCTCCTGATGTACACATACACCACCACCTGTTAGGGGGTTTTACAGGAAAAAGCAAGGAACCTAAATCTAATCCAGCCTCCATATCCAACCTCCAATTTTCAGGCTATACAAAAATACAGGAAAATATCAAACTAAGCCACAAGCATAAAATGAACAGTTCCTAGAATCTGGAAGACTTTTAATTGGTCGAATGAGTGTTTCTTCCACAAAAAATTCCAAGAATTAAAAAAGAGAAGATGCAGCAGGTCTAGAGAAAACAATAAACAAAATACCCATGGACCGATTTCAGTGTGTGACTTTTCAGATGCTGTTTCATTCTGTGTATATGTGTGTGTATACATGAGTGTGCAAAGATGAATGAGAAGATATGGACAGTGAGGATATTTGATGATGTTAAGAGTGAAACTATTTTTCAGGTCTGTTGTTCCCTCTGTTAAAAAGACTTTTTTGGGGAGGATAATTGGCAATATTTGCAGATTAAATTATATGCTATTTGGGAGTTACTTCAAATAATCTAGCTGGGGAGGGAGGGAGGGAGGAGCTTAGTGGGTGGGAAACTAGAGAAAACAAGATTGACCATGAATGGAGAATTGTTGAAATTGGGTTCATTATACTCTGGCCTTCTTTTTGTGTATGTTTGAAATTTACCCCAAATTTTTAAAAAACAGCTTCAATTGTAACAGCTCAAGCCTTCCCTAATATTAGGTAGCTCCCCTAATACATGTAAGAAGACGCAAAGGATTTGACTCTACTTTGTGTACAACCAGAGATATGAAAAAGTGTGCTCTATATGTGTATAAATTGTAATGCATTCTGTTGTCATATATAACAAATCAAAATTTAAGAATAAATAAATAAATTTTAAAAATATATTTTTAAAAATGTATTTAACTCATAAGTGTTTCTAAGATTGTAATTACAAATCACAGGTCTGAATTACTCCACTATGTACTTTTAAAGTAGAACCATGAGACAAATCATCTCAAACAGTATTTGAAATTAAAATGCCAAATACAGATTTTTCTAAACACAATTCTTTTTTTTTTAATATTAAATTGTATTTTTTTAAGAGAGAGAGAGGGGGAGAGAGAGAGAGAGAGAGAATATTTATTTCTTAGTTTTTTTCGGCTGACACAACATCTTTGTATGTATGTGGTGCTGAGGGTCAAACCGGGCTGCACGCATGCCAGGCGAGCACGCTACCGCTTGAGCCACATCCCCAGCCCCACACAATTCTTTATCTCAAGATTTGTATCTCAAAACATTTTTAACTTAATATTTGGGGCTGAAGGTGCTCACCTACCAAGTAAACAGCCAAGGAGCCTACAGTTTGGGCATCATTTTCCCAAGCAATTGTTGGTGTTGCCTTACCAGCAATGGTGGACTCTTAATGACCAGTAAGACCCTTGGCAGAGAGGCCAGCTGGGCCCTTGCCCAGGACACAGAGGGGACATCCATGGTGTTTTTTTGAGTTGCTATGTCAATGACCTCCCAATGAGGTCTAAGCTAGGTCTACAGGTTGAAATCCTGTCATTACCTAATTTTTTATTCCTGGAAGTTTAGAACTTCCATTAAGAGAATAACTAATTGCTTTCACTTCTTCAGTTGATTTTGTGTTTCTTTCCTTCTTTCTTTCTTTTCTTTTTTTTTTAAAAAGACACTTAAATGGCTTTCTGGCTGGCTTAAAAGACCTTTAAACTTAAGGGAACTTTTGTCTCTTCTTGGGCTTTACCTGACTCTACAAAGGGGGCCATTCTAGTGACATTAATACTTGCAGGTTTCTTTGAATGTGGTGTGAGCCCATCTGTGACTTGCAGCTCCTCAGTGGGTCACAGCAGTTAATCAGAGAGAGAGAACTGAGTGGAAGATATCAAAAGGCATTATAAGTTGTGAAGATGAATACTGTTTTTCTGAGACTTTGGTTTCATTTGTTTTTTGATGTGAATAAATATCTTGCTGTGGATCACTGTCAATGATTTAAAAATTGCCACTTTAGTATATGATGTGGAAGAGCTGGGACAGCCGAGCATATGGATAACAGCAAGAGTTAATCATAAACTGCTGGTAAAGAGATAGGCCCCCAAAGAAACAGAGCCCAAAACACACCCTGGGCTTAAACCAACCTAAAAGTTTAAATCAGTCAATCAAGCAAGCAACTATGCGGTGGCCCCTTAGTGGAAGGATACTTTTTTGTTGCTGAAGACGCAGAGGTTGGCATGGTGGATTGTTTTTTGGTGTCCGTTCCTTCCCTCCATGCTCCTTATTCACCATTTATTGCCTTTTGGTAGCTCAGTGTTTGGTCTACCGTAGGTAATACATCCATATTTATCAGGTGTAAATACTAGTAGTCAAGACACCTGTTTCAGAGAATTGGGGAGGAGAATTTTTGTTTTAACAAGCTTTCCATGTAGCTAACCTGGTGGCAGTTGCAGACCATTATTTAGGAAGCATAGACCTAGTCCATCTGCTCATTCCCTGGCCCAGGTCACACATGCTGTTAGCATTTGAACCATGCTAAAAATCGGGTCGCTCCTCTTCTGGTGGAGGGCTTTACCTACAACTCCTGGCATCTCTTACCAAGTTCTCTAAAAACATTCCATGGCATTCTAGGAGGTGGCATGGATTCCATACTCCTTTCTACACCACCACATTCTCCCAAATGACTCATCATTTTATTTTCTTGCTCTATAGCTTTGGCTTTCTTTCTGTGGCCAGTAGCAGAAAGACATGGAGCAGCATATCATTCAGAACCCACCAGCATCTGTTGCCCTCCTGTCCCTTCTGTCTCTTCTCTCTCTTCCAATCTCCCAACTCTCTCCTTCTGCTTTTACCTCCTGCTGGGGCCACCCCAGGCTACCCGGGAAGCCACAGACAACTAACCTTCACCAACTCTGGTCTTCTGTTCATATGTATCCACCAGGTGGAACAGCCTCTATTTTTCTCTGAATAACGTCCACCCTCCCAAACCAAGTTCAAGTGCCACTTTTATAAAATCCTCCTTGATTTGGAGTTAATCACTCCTTCCTTGATGCATCTTGCTCTTTGTCCCTATTCTGCTACAGCCCCTAAGAGTGCTGTAGACTTGTTTATCTTCACCCATGTTTGATGGGAGAGTAAGCTCATAGAAGGCAGTTGTTACTGGAGTACCCAAAGGTTCCTTGGTTGAAGGCTTGATCCCTAGTGCAGCCATGTTCAAAGGTGGGGTTTGAGAGAGTGATTGGATCCTGAGGGCTCTGACCTCATCAGTGGATTAACCTTTTGAGGAATTAAAAATGTGAATGGACTCAAGGTGGAGGTGGAACAAAGTTGAGGGGGCAGGTCCCTGGGGACATATCCTTGAGGGCTGTATCTTGTCCCTGTCCCCTTCCTGGATGCCATGAGGGGACAGCTATCCTCCACCATATACTTCTGCCATGGTGTTCTCTCATCTCAGGCCCAAAGCTATGGAGCTGGCTAATCATGGACTGAGACCTCTGAAACAATGAGCCCAAACAAACTTCTCCTCCTTTACGTTGTTTTTCTCAGCTATTTTGTTCCAGCGACAAAAAGCGACACATCATGCATGTGTCCTTCACTTCACTGTACACCCTTGTCACCATTATTAGATGTTTGTTGAATTGATTTTTGTATGAGTTCTGATGACACCAGTGTTAATATTAACGGGCAGCATGGCCATTTAACTTGTGTGGAGTAGGAGCTTCAGCCTCCAGTCTCAGATGAAGGCTCGAGGCTGCTTGTGACTTCACTGTCATTCCTTTTCTTCTTAAACCCAGCCAAAGACAGTCCTGCCAGGTTTGCGACCTATTCATGGTAAACAATATTTAGTTTGTTTTTCTTTGGAGACAAGGTGGACAAGGAGGCTGGCATCTTGAAGAGGAAGTATTAGCAAATCTGATCCTCAGTGCCATTTATAAGAGATGGGAGAAGGGGAACTCAGGGCATAGACGAAAAACCTCAGAGAACTGTGAGACAAGGGTGTCCAGCCATCCTGTCTGTGGAACATCCTGCCTCTCAGGCTCTTCAGCCAGCACAAGAGTGCTTCAGGTCACTACCGAACGTACCTGCTGAGGGAGAAGCTTGTCACTGAGGGTCTTGCTGGCTCATTCCCAGGAGAGCAAATCTCCTGCCTGAATTAGAGGTGAGCGGAGAAAGCCCAGCGCAGGATGCATGTGGATCAAGGGTGTTTATTTTGCTGGCTTTGGTATTAAATAATTTTTGTGCAGTTACATCGGCGTGGTTTTTGAAAAGAAAAATCATTATTGAATGCATTTTTTTTATGTTGTTTCGTGGTTTTGGACAGGCAGAAAACCTAATTCTGTTAAAAATGAGATGAAAATCCTCACATTGAAATAATGATGTTTCTCTGTTACAGGTTCCTTGCATTGACTCCATGGAGAGTATATCATCTGATTTCGGTCATGATCCTTGGGCGTGTTATTATGCAAATAATAAAGGATATGGTTTTGTCTAGAACAAGAGGTAAGAACACTCAAGATTTAATTTTTATGGCATTTAATTCTCTCAACTCTGAATGTCTGATTCTTGTGAGGGCACACTAACCAATTATTCCTTTGAATATTCCTTTGAACAGGAAAAGCAATAGATTGTATAGGTATTGATTTTGCTATTTTCAATATAGTAGTTTATTTAACTGATTCATAGCTTCAACTACTGCCTTTCTATTGGCTCTAAGTGCCATTTCAAATACCACTTTGATATGTAAGTAGGCTGCAGTGAGGATAGCAGTTAAATATTTATTACATCCTACTTGATGAAACTGGTCCACTGGAAAATGGACACGTTTATATAAAATTTTTTTCTGCCTCAATGAAGAAAAACAATTGAGGATTTAAAAGCAAATGATAGAGAAAATTTTAAATGAGTAAACGATCATGAAAAATGAATAAATTTCAAACATTAATTTTAGAAGTGAGAACTTACAGTATTTTAAATTTTGCTTAAATTTTTGAGTAGGTTAACTATATTATAAATCAAGCTATCCATAGTTGGAGAATGCTCTTCCATGAGTGTTTGAGCTATTTTTTTGTAAGTGGACAAAAATCCCTCCTGGAAGTAATTGAGTCCCATGAAGCCAAATGGAATAGATAGATTTGATCAAAATTAGCCCAGAGGAGATTGTAATCAGGCATTTAATTTCACTGAATATACCCCAACTGGAGACAGAGTTTTGGTTGAGACCCATGTGGACCAATGTGTTTAAGAACTGCCCAGATGTCTCATCCTGGTGGAGATATTGAGGTCCTTTTTGCAGGAGGCATGTTCTGTTCCCTAACACCCACATGAAACCAAGAATGCACACAGTTACAGGTTTACCATTGAGACATTCTGTGGATTTGCTTTAAATCTGGTTTACTTAACATCTTTCTTTTCTTAAACTAAATCATTGTGAAAACAATTTTTAGGAAGTACATTAGTGTGTTTCCAGATTTGGAAGCAATTCCCTCTTGCTTAGCATCTTGGAAGGTGAACACATTTGTTTTTGTTCAGTTAATGTGTTTCATGAATCTGAAGATTTCGATTATACTCTTGTACACATACTTCCCTTTCTCCCTCTCTCTCCCTACCCCTTTCTCTCAGAGAGCAGGCACTGAACTGCCTCAGCTTCAACCTGAGCAGGTGCTCACTCTGATTCTTCCTGCTTGCCACATATGCACTGAGGTCACCTAGAGGCAGAGCATCTATTTCCTTGATTTTGTGCAAGGCTTTGTTGGGTGGTCTACAGCAACCCCTTTTTTCTTAACCATTTTCTCAAATAAACTTTTATAACATGTTCCCCCTCTAGAACCTCTGGGAGGGGAATCCTAGAAGTTATAGCCAGTTGCAAGTTTTTTCAGCAGCCATATTATCTTGGTAGACCCAGCTGATCCACAGAGGAAACTGAGCATCTTGGTGCTTTGAGTTGTATGACAAATCTGGTCCTCATCTGGGCACAGGTTATAAATTGTAGACAAACATGGAAGACTAAGACTTGATCTCTGTGTGAGGGGCCAAGTGTGAGAAAAGGGCAGTTAGGGTGTCTTTCCGCTTCCATTCTGTGGACCTACGAAGATCTTAAGTTTCTAGTTTGACTTCCTGACTTGATGGGTTACACAAAGGCAGAAACTTCCTTCTCATGAATTACAGGAAAGCTGTACATCACAGAGATTCAGTCCTTTAAAATATTATGGAATTGAAAGAATGCCAGCCTAAAGAGTCTAATTCTCATACTGGGTCACTCATTTCTAGCTGTAGAGAAGCCATATAACAGACTGTGTTAGTTTCCTGTTGCTGCTGTAACAAAATACCACCAACACTGTGGCTCAAAACAAAGAAAGTTCTTCTCTCGCAGTTCTGGATGCCACTTGTCCAAGTTGGTATTGTTGAACCAAAATCAAGAAGTCAGAGATCTGGATGCCCTCTGGAGGCCTTAGTGAAGAATCTGGCCTCTCCTAGCTTCTGGTGGGTTCTGTCTGTCATCTATCCTCCTCAGCCTGTCTCTACCAAGTGCACTTGTGATTGGATGGCCTTTGGTGCCCACCCGGGTGGCAGGTGATCTGCTCATCTCACATTCCTTAACCCAACCACATCTGCAAGGCTCTCTTTCTGTATGAAGTCACATTCCCAGATTCCAGGGATGAAGATTTGATATCTTCAGGACGGTGACTCGGCCTACTTTACCACCAGAACCTCTTTATCCTGCTAAATGGGGGAACCATCCTCACACCAGGGGGTTGTATGAGGGCCAGTTAAGAGCATGGAACAGAAGTACTTTTGGCACAGTGGCCTCTCCTCTGCTGGCGGACACAGATTCAGGATAGCACGGTGTCTGTTCACTGGTCAGTCATTCTGGGTTGAGTTCCTTCTCTGCCAGGCACTGGCTTCCATGGGGATCCAGACACGCCAGGCTCTCTGCCCAAGCAGAGCCCTTATGGTCTGCCCTGGGGGACCTGCCTTTGTCTCAGGCCTGTCTTTCTCTCAGGGTTTTCACTGGGTGACATTGCTTTGAATATAGCATTTCTCTGCAAGAAAGAAGAAAAAGGAAGATGGAATTCATTACTGTGCTTTCCCAGAGCTCCCCAGTCTGCGACTGAGAAACCCTGGTGACTCCTCAGACTCCTTTAGAGAGTCTTTAGGACAAAGACCCCATTGAGCTGGTGAATGGCTGGCTGAGCCTGTCGGTGGGGGCTTCCAGCACAGCGCACTGCCATGATGCCCAGTCCCAGGGAGGCACAGAATCACTCCAATGGATGCAGATGTGGTTCTGGTAGTTCCATGGCTTCAGTCAGAGCCGTCAGCCACTCTTGGCAGATAGCTGGCTTGTGTCCACCACAACACCGGGGAAGACTAGGCCGCAGGGCCACCGGGCAGCTCTGCTACTTCCCCCTCTCTCAGTCACATTTGTGACTGAAGATATTCACGATCTTAATTGAACTCCTCTCCCAGTTGTTATCTTCTTTAAACCCTCTGACCAAATTTTCAAGTGCCGTGTTATTACCTTGGTGCATGTTGCATAGCAGCTCTGGCTGGGACTTTTCTTGATGACTGAACATCTGCACCTAGTGACTAGTCCCCCATCACCTTCCCCCTAGGACTTGGCAACTACCTTTCTTTCTTTTTCAAAAATTTTTATTGGTGAGTCTTAATTATACAGATTGGTGGGTTTTATCGTGGGATGTTTGTACATACATAAAAATGTAATTTGATCAATTACCACTCTATTTTCTACTTCTGTGAGTTTGGGTACTCCTAGTTATTATGTTTGGTACCATCCTAGGTGCTTAATATGAAATAGAAAGCAGTTGGGATGGGGGAGCAGAGTTATCATCAAATGAATGAGCTTTTGTGAAACCTAAGGGAACCCACATCCTATTGTGAGTGTCTGGTCTGAGTAGGCCATGCTCTGCAGCAGATCTCTCTCCTTTCTCTCTTTAACAGGCTCCTTGAGCACATGTGCCCCTGTGTTAATCCATCATTTCCGCTCTGGGGAATTCTTCTGTGCCATGGAGAATTCTTCTCCCATTCCTAAACTTGATCATGACCACCTTTTCTTTCTCCCCTTTGCAGTAGAACCAGCCACTTCCACCCCAGGCTCTCTTTAAGATCTTTAGCTACAGCTCTGTGGATAGGAAGAGGGCTTAGCCAGTGTTCCCCTCACTCCCCAGGGCTACCAGTAGGAAGCATTTGCAGCCACTATCCCTTTAGGCCTTCTCCCTTCTGCAAAATCTGGACTATCTGTTTATGCCACTTTCTGAGCATTCTTGCTGCTATGGAATAGGGATATGTAGGGCTTGTGGTCCACTTAGATCTTCATGTACTTTCCATTGATTGTGGTTCTCTCTGGCTCAGATGATGGCTGGATGGTCACCTGCTAGGTAGCTTCATCTTTGATCTTAGCCTTTGGAAGTACTGTATGTCCACCATTTATAAAGTCTGAAATTCCATTGCCACTGCACCCTCCACCTACCCTCCCTGGCCCCTTGCTCCTGCTGAGCTGGCTCGGGGACTCTTGATTTACTCTTCCTGCTCAGCCCCTTGCCTCTCATACACTGTCCCCCAGCCCCTTCTCTGCTTATTTCCCCAGTCCATGCTCAAAGACTGTAGAGATTCTGACCTTGCTATTCTAAGTGTCCTTGTTCTCTTGTCCACCAACCATACTTATTCCGCCAGGTTAAATAACAAGACAAGCAAAGCACTGTCTGCCTTCCCGACTCTTGGCTGCAGAGTTGTTATGGAAATGTCATGTGTTAAGGTGTGCTGATGTCTGTAGAATTGAGTCCATCCAGCTCCCAACTCTAGTTGGGACCTCATTATTGCTCACAATTGCCTGGGTTCTCTTGAGTTGTTGTTGATTTGCTTTTATATGCCACCTAACTCCAAAGAGTTTGAAGGGACATAAAACATAATGCTGTTTACAAGAGGTCTATGAGAGGAGCAGAAGTCTAACAGAGTAACATTTCTGAGCAACAGGTTTATCCCTTTGCTTACAGGCAACCAAGGCAAAAAGGAAATCAGATTAATTGTTCAGTTCTCCCATGTAAGTACTAACCAGGCCTGACCCTGCTTAGCTTCTGATATCAGACAAGATGGGGCATGTTCAGGATGGTAGAGCTGTAGACTTAATTGCACAGTTCTGGTGGTCTGAGGAAATGCAGAAAACAGTTTTGAGAAACTTTTTCCTGGAAGTTAACTTATCACCTGGACCTTTGATAGGGGATTGTGAAGAACATAAGGACAATACCTTTGACCCTTTGTCTGATTGACCATACAGAAATGTTCTCATGGCCATTTATTATTTTGAGTATAATATCAAGACTCAGTCACCAGGTGTGCTGGCACATGCCTATAGTCCCAGGGACTCTAAAGATGAGGCAGGAGAATCTCAAGTTTGAGACTAGCCTCAGCAATTTAGTGAGACTCTCACTCAAAAAAAAAAAAAGACTGGGGATAACTCAGTGATACAGCACCCAGGGGTTCATTCTCTAGGGCTGCAAAAAACAAACAAACAAACAAAAAATGAGCCATTGAAGACAGTCACTGGAGATTTTAAAAAGCAAATTGTATGCATGTCTATATACTTTCATTTGTGCCTAGACATAAGCTTGTACCTAAAGAAGACTAGATATAAGGTAGTTGTAATTTTGTGGATTGGTCTCTGTGTCCTCTATTCTATACCACTGGTCTACCCGCCTGTTTTGGTACCAGTACCATGCTGTTTTTGTTACTATTGCTCTATAGTATAGTTTGAAATCTGGTATTGCTATACCACCTGTTTCACTCTTCCTGCTTAGAAAAACTGGAAATCCATATGCAACAAAATGAAACTGAATCCCTTTCTCTCACCATGCACAAAAGTTAACTCAAAATGGATCAAGGAGCTAGGAATCAAACCAGAGACTCTGCATCTAATGGAAGAAAAAGTTGGCCCTAATCTCCATCTTGTGGGGTCGGGCTCCAAATTCCTTAATAAGACATCTATAGCACAAGAGTTAAAATCAAGAATCAACAAATGGGACATATTCAAACTAAGAAGTTTTTTCTCAGCAAGAGAAATAATAAGTGAGGTAAATAGGGAGCCTACATCCTGGGAACAAATTTTTACCCCTCACACTTTAGATAGAGTGCTAATCTCCAGTTTTTTAAACAACAAAAAAACAAATGACCCAATCAACAAATGGGCCAAAGATCTAAACAGACACTTCACAGAGGAGAATATACAATCAATTAACAAGTACACAAAAAAATGCTCACCATCTCTAGCTATCAGAGAAATGCAAATTAAAACCACTCTAAGATACCATCTCACTCCAGTAAGAATGGCAGCCATTATGAAGTCAAACAACAACAAGTGCTGGCGAGGATGTGGGGAAAAAGTACACTTGTACATTGCTGGTGGGACTGCAAACTGGTGCAGCCAATTTGGAAAGCAGTATGGAGATTCCTTGGAAAGCTGGGAATGGAACCACCATTTGACCCAGCTATTCCCCTTCTCAGACTATACCCAAAAGACCTAAAAAGAGCATGCTACAGGGACACTGCTACATCAATGTTCATAGCAGCACAATTCACAATAGCTAGACTGTGGAACCAACCCAGATGCCCTTCAACAGATGAATGGATTAAAAATGTGGCATTTATACACAATGGAATATTACTCAGCATTAAAAAATAACAAAATCATGGCATTTTCAGGGAAATGGATGACACTAGAGCAGATTATGCTAAGCGAAGTTAGCCAATCCCTAAAAAAACAAATGCCGAATGTCTTCCCTGATATAAGGGAGGTGACTCAAAACAGAGTAGGAAGGAAGAGCATGAGAAGAAGATTACCACGAAACAAGGAAAAGAGGAGGGAGGGAGAGGGAGGGAGAAGGGGAATTGCACGGAAGACGGAAGGAGACCCTCATGGGTTCACAAAATACATATATGATGGTGGGAGGGGGAAGGGAAGAAAAAAAAGAGAGAGATAAATGTCACAATAGAATGGGTAGAGAATAGTGATGGGAGGGGAGGGGAGGGGGGATAGGGAGGGCAACAGAATACAACTGACACTAGGATTGCTGTATGTATACACATGGATGTATAACCAATGTGATCCTGCAATCTGTACACATGGAAAAATGAGAATTCATACCCTATTTGAATCAAATGTATGATATGTCAAGATCATTGTATTGTCTTGAGCAACTAATAAAAAAAAAAATGACTAGATAAAAATCTCCCTTTTCCAGTCACAGTTGTCTCAGTTTGCCAGGATGGTGCCAAGACTCACCTTCAAAGCCACCTCTATTATTCATGCTCCCTGGAGCAGCCACATCCCCCCCCCCCCCGCCCCCACCCTCATGGTTACTCCTCTTGTGCGGTTCCTGCTCTGCCTCTCTGGGTTCACATTTACTGGAGCACACATTTGGTCTGCCACATATGACAGTGAAGCCCCTGAGGCAGGGACTGTGTGTGCTGGAGCGTTCCATCCCTCAGGGCACCTACTCAACTGTTTTGCATGTAGTAGGATTTCACTAACTTTTTTTTGTGAATTAACTGCCTGAATTAGTCGTGGCACCAGCAGTATACATCATAAGATCTGATAGTCTGCCGCGCTTAAATATCTCAATGTTCCACTTTACATATCTTGTAATATTTTTAAGTTGGGAAATGCCTCAGGAGAGCACAGCTTGGTTAAGTCTCTCATTTTCCTTCTCCCTCTTGCAGGTGCACAGTTGTGGAGAAGCCTCAGCGAAAGGTAGGAGACTTTCTTTCAATGATATGACTAGTGGAGGAGAGGGTGCAGGGGAGGGTGACGGAGCTGCCCGGACGTGGCTTTGACATCATATTTTTAGTGACAGGGACCTAAGTCCTATAGTAATTTACAGGAGTGGAAAAATAAAAATACAGTGAAACTGAGAACAAGATAAAACTGGGACTCATTGTAGGAAATGCTTCATATTTTGTCTTAATATTGGGGACCTTGTGTGGGGAGTGCATCGTGCGTGGGGGTTTGGAAGTGAAGGGAGGGAGGCATTTCGCTTTGGGACTTCCTTTGAGGCTTCGTTTTTGGGGTGTGGACAGTGCTACAGTGGTGGGGATCGAGAACTCTGCTGGAATGTTCCTGAGGGTTAGACATGCTGTCCATCTAGAGGACTTTGGAGTGGGGGAGAAGATGGGGAGGGGTGAGCGGCTGGCAGGTGAAGCGCAGTGGAAACTGAGCAGCCGCTGACCACTCGCCTGCCACGGCCAGACCTCGGCCCAATTCATTTAGCATCATCTGCTGGCAGCAGGAAGGGCCTGCTCCAGTGGACGAGGACAGGGTTGTTGCAGGTGATGAGAGTTCACTTCACCCCTTGGACACGTGGGAAGCAGGAAACTAAGGACAGTGTGGGGATCAGTCTGCAGGGAAAGGAATGTGTGTAGGGATTGGTTTTTTTAAAAACCCATTCTGCCTTAAAATACATATTTGTGTGACTTAGAAAGGATGGTTGGGGTACTGGCCTTGCGTCAAGTGGACGTCATGAACTGGGTGTGTGAAAAGGAGGACAAAATAAAGTCACAAAACTCCTACACAAAATCATTGCTATTGCCAGGTGCAGGCCCCGTTGCTGACATCTGGCTTCAGCATGGAGATAGGTTTCAGGTCATGAAGCAGAGCCTGTGTGCTCTGATGGACCTGAGTCCCTGCCTTGTTCAGGGTCCCTTAGTTCCTACCTAATGCTGCTTTGTGGTTCCAGCATCCCACGTGGGACATCACGCTGGGCTAGCGGTTCTGTCTCCTCAGGCTCTTCTGGGCTATGATGTCTTTCAGACTTTCCTTATTTTTGCTGATCTTGATGTTTTTGAGGAGCACTGGTCAGGTACACCATAGGAGGCCTGTTGTGGTTCCCCCCAGAGCTCACGTGGAGGCAATGCAAGAAGGTTTAGAGGCGAAATGACTGGGTCATGCAAGTTTTAACCTGATCAGTAAATTAGTCGCCTGATGGGATTAACTGGGTGATAAGCAGGCAGGTAGGGTGTGGCTGGAGAAGGTGATCTCTGGGGGTGTGCCTTTAGGGTTTATATTTTGTCCCTGGCAAGTGGAGCTGTCTGTCTCCCTCTGCTTCTTGGTGTCATCTCCTGAGTCCCTTTCTCCCCCACCCCCTTCTGCCATGATGTTCTTCCTGACCTCTGACCCACAGCAATGGAGCCGGCCATCTGTGGACTGAGACCCCTGAAATCCTGAGCCCCAAGTAAACTTTTCCTCCTCTAAAACTGTTCCTGTCTTTTGGTCACAGCAGCAAAAGAGCTGCCTAAAACGAGGCCCCTCTTGAAACCTGTCTGCTGTGTTTCTCGTGGCTGGACTGGGGTGACATGTTTGGGAGGAGGCTGGAAGCCAGGGGCCATTTTCATCACACTGTGGCAAGGGGACATGCTGTCAGCAGGATCAGGACTTGACTTTAGCCTGATTGCCTGGCTGAGTCCTGGTGCAGCTGCCTCCGGCTGGTTCTCTGTGAAGCCGGAGAATCTATTTGGGAAGGGAAGGTTAGATCAGAAGGTGGCAGTGAGAGCACAGCCAGGGAGCAGAATCCGAGTGTAAGGACAGTCCATGGAGGTAGCTCTGGGCACACCCTGCCTCCCCAGCCTGGCCCCAGGGCCTGCTCCTAGTCTCGCCCCCCCCCCCCCCCCATGAATGTGCTGGGCTGTCCTGGGTCTTTATCTTAGGCTCTCTGTACCTGGGTTTTCCCATTCATCAGATGGCAGAACTGAGGCTTGTTCTCTAGTTGTGGTTGGGAGAAGGTTAGACCAAGTGAGCTGCTTGAATTAAGGATTTAAAAAAAATAAAAACAAAAAAACCTGGGGCTGGGGCTGTAGCTCAGTGGCAGAGCACTTTTCTACCCTGTGTGAGGCACTGGATTGAATCCTTAGTACCACATAATAAGCAAACAAAACAAAGACATTCTGTCCATCTACAACTACAACAAGATTAAAAAACAAACAACAAAAACCCGTGATTTTCAGATGCAAAATCCTTCCAGATTCACGTTTACTCAAATTTGGCCAGTGTCATCCCTTGATATGATTTGAACGTGTCCCTTAAAGTTCATGTGTCAGAAACCTAATCCCCAGTGCAACAGTGTTAGGTGCTGGGACCTCCTCACTGGAGGAGCCTAGGTCACAAGGCCCCCACCTCAGGAATGGCGCTATGCAGCTAATAAAAGGGCTTGAAGCTGCAGGTTCCTCCTCTTCTTCTCCTTTGCCATGTAATGACACAGCAAGAAGCCCTCACAGGATGCAGCCCCTCATCTGGTGAATGCTTCCCAACCTCTGGAACTATAAGAAATAAATCTCTGTTCTTTATAAATAACCCAGCCTTAGGTATTCTGTTATAGTAGCACAAAAGGGCCCTGATCTCTCTCCTTCTTTCTTGGAGTCCTTGCCATCCACAGTCCTTCTGAACACACGTACAGCTTGTGTTGAGAATTTTTACTGTGTGTGTTCTTTTAATAGAGAAGCCATTTTATTATTTGATAATGATTTGGAAAAAAAAAATAGTAATGAGCACAACAGGACCACAGGACTCACTCTACTACCAGTTAGGTTTGGTCATAGAGAAATAACTCCTTTTTCTGTGTCCTTTGTTAGACAGATAATGTTTTGCTCCTTAGGGAGGGTGCTCAGGCATGACAAAGGAAATAGCCTTTTAGGAAGGGTCTCATTCACTGTCCCCTGGGTGTTTTTATCCTTTTCCCACCCTTGAGGCTACTGATCTTGCCAAGGCCCACTCCTCTCCTGGCCTCAGTTAGGAGGGAAGTAAGATTCAGTCATCTCAGATGTCCTGCCCAGGTCTATTTGCGGGTCTGTGCGTCTCTTCCATATTGTTGTCTTCATGTTTTTCTGCGGTCAGTGACTCTCAAACTGATTTAATTTATCCTGGAATGAAACTTGTCTGTATCTGTCCTCTGTAGTCTACAACCTGAAATACCATTCTCCTCTTTGGAGGTGTGAAATTAAAATGTTTGTGCCTTGAATTGCTTTGAGGATGATTCGGTGTGTTGTGTACAGGGATCCTTAGCATCTGGCCCTGGGGAGAGCTTATGTTTTTAACAGTGAAGAAGTAAGAAACTCTTTAAGGATAGAACACAGCGGCTGATCAGCAGATCCTTGGCAGCAGAGGGAGGTGCTGCTGTGCTCTTGAGGACTGTGTGGGACCAGGGTCTTTTCACTTTCCATCTGGGATGCCCATCGGGACCCTCACCCTCACCTCACTGGCAGTAGCTGGGAATCCCCCTGCACCCATGGGCCCAACAGCTGAGGCTCTCAGTTAGACAGCAGGGCCTGTCCTGCCTCTTTCCAGCGCTGCACTGGATCCATTTCAGCTGGTGCTGGACCATAGAGTAAGTCAGGCCTTCTGACCCTGTGCTTTCCATTGCAGGAGGAGCATTAAGGAGCATCAGTTGCATTAATTTCAGTTTGAAAAGTGGATCCGAGCACTGCACTCACCATTCAGTGCCATTAGAAAGCTTTTTGAATTAAAAAGAAACTTCTTCCTCCCTTCTTCTCTGCAGTCCCGAGACTTGTCCTTTCACAGAGTGTTATTTATTCTTTGGGAAAATGTGCTTTCATCATCATCTAAACTAACCTTAAAATATCCAGGAAGGTGGTGACAGCTCCTGCCCAGGAAACAGCTCTTCTGGACACTTGGGGGTATCCACAAAGTTCACCGTGTTTCACTGAACCAATACATAGTACTCAAGCCAGGGTCTGATTTCCAGGGTCTCATCAACAATAAAAATCAGATGATTTTAATCAGATGCCATTCACAAGTCAGACTATGTACACGGAAAACTCATTTGTCAAAGTGTAGCTGTCGGTGGGTGTGTCCTGAGAAGGGCTCCTGCGTGGCCTCCTTCTTCCCCAGGCACTACCGCTAGGATCTGAGCAGGATCTAGTCAGAGCCATCTGTCAGCTGAACCAAATCAACATCTTTTATGGTTAATTCCTAGCACTGACTTGAAACTTGGTTCACACTATCATAGTAGCTTTTTATTTCTGCATGAAACTACGGCAATTGATTGAAAAATCCTCTGTTTAAGAGAAAACAAGAGTGTTACCTTGTCCCGCATGCGTGTCTTCTAAAAATGTAAAGTTGCCTTCAGTGTGTCCAGGTACTTCTCAGTAAGTATGAGTTACAAAGAAACATCTTCACTTATATATAACAATCATTCAAAATGACTCTACTAGTTCTTTAATAGTTTGTTCATTGTCACCCAGATTAAGAGATGGGTTGTTTTCATCTTAATTTTTTTTTTTTTTTTGATACCAGGGATTGAACCCAGGGGCACTTTACCCCTGAGCCACATCTCCAGCTGTTTTAGTCAGCTTTTTCTCTGCTGTGATTAAAAGACTCGACCAGAACAATTGTAGAGGAGGAAAAGTTTATTTGAGGGTTCATGGTTTCAGAAGTCTCAGCCCATAGACAGCCAGCTCCATTCCTCAGGGCTCAAGGTGAGGCAAGACAACATAGTGGAAAAGTGTGGCCGAGGGAAGCAGCTCACATTGATGATCAGGAAACAGAGAGAGAGAGAGATTCTACTTGCCATCAGGTGATTAATTCACTGATTGGGTTTAAGGCTCTCATAACCCAATCATTTCTCCTCTAAACCTTCTTGCATTATAACACACATGAACTTTTGGGGGACACCTTACATCCAAATCATAACACCAGCCCTTTTTAATATTTTATTTAGAAAGAGGTCTTGCTGAGTTGCTTGA